CACACCTCGTATATGTACTTGTGGAAATGTTACTAGAATTATAAATTTGTTAAATAGTACGGATGCACATTCATGTTTATTGATTTATGCTATTATTTTACTCTGAGATATCTGTTACTGCACGTGCTGATGCTACTCATTCTTTGGAGCGCAATTTTCTTTGTTGCAGACAAAGGAACCGTAGGCCAAACGTCAGCAGGTTAATAATATATGTATGTACATACATACATATGTATGTTTGTATATGAAAGTTTGTATGCCAAAGCAAAATCAAAGTGCACTGAACTCAACAATGTTCATCTACGTAAAATTGTGGGGGTTTATAGTTTTTGAATAATGCAGAATCCACAAAATGAAAACAAATACGTAAATACAATATTCTAAGGGTGCAATAAAAGAAAATATTTATAAATTTTTGAAAAACTCTTGACTGTCATAATTGTCTAATACTACTGAACCCGATATTTCTGTGCTTCAAACAGGGAAACTCACAAACAACCAAAACTGACGGAGCGATACGTTGGTACATACATACATCCATTTTGGAACCCTTGCCTTGAAGTAATGCGAAAGCGATCTCGGGGTAGGGGAAAAGTTTCATGATAGAAGGGGGGAGTGCCTTAGTGGGTACCCCACTCACATAGGATGACGATCTCTATATATATGGTGCGAAGGCATTTTAAATCCTCCTTACGGCCTAAAAAAAATCTCGGCTTTACTTAAGTATGTACAAAAAATCAGTCACTTGCGTTGCTTCCAAACTGAAATAGTGAAAACTTCTATACTGCCTTAAAACTTGTATATATTTTTCAAATAAATATTTTTCACTTTCTTGTAATTGTCCTCAATATATGATAAAAATTTCTACGATTCCACGAAACTTGCATTTTGATAAAAAAAAATGTTCACTTTCCCCTTTGATTGAATTCTGAACCCTAGTATGGTATACCCCCCTTTATAATATGAAATATATTAGAGGTCTATTATGAGTAAATTATAAAAAAAAATTCTCACCCACCGATTTATCATAAAACTATGAGTACTGTAAATGCCCAAAAACATACTCTTGTAAAATTTAATATATTGGTTGGAGCCACATGACAAATATAAAAAAAAATGCATTAAGGAATTGGACGACAGAAGAGAATTTAATTTGAAAGGCGATGACGATTTTGTTATATTTTGAGATGACGCTAAGGCTACATATTGGAACAAGTTCAAATACAGTATATTTCAAGGACATGGCAAAGAGGGATCAATAAATTAGAGTCTGGAAAATCTGGTTCGTTAATTTGGTTAAATGTTAGTTAGTAAATTTTTTTAACATAGTGAGAAATCATAATAGCCGTTAAAGTAATAACTCATTATTTTAATAACATGTATTATATTCTAATTAAATAAATATTAGTATTAAATTCTTTAAAGTGGTTACACACTGTTTACGTTTGTTTTGGCTACCTATGTACATATGTATATCTGTTTTGATACATCATAATTTTTAATGATTTCCACTACACCTCGCATAAGAATGCGCGGTGTGCCAAATGGTTTTTGGTGATTTCACGAATTCATTTGTTGTCATTTGAAAAAGCTGACTCACAATTAAGCGGATACAGTGTTCTATCTTGTAAATATCGAAAAATAAAATTTTTTTTTTCTTGTTTTAACTTCGTAAAATAGAATTTCATCTCCTCTTAGACAGCTATCGGTGATGATCCTAATGGCAATTTGGAATTTACTAGACATACACTTAGCTGAAGTCATGTTCCCATTTAGTATGCGGGTGAAGTGATCAGAGTTTCCAGTGGTACCAAAAGTGGTAGTTTATAAAATCGCAACGAATCGGACTGACAGATTTTAATAGCTATTGTAAACAAAGTGATATTTTTTCTCTCATGATGCCGCGGACATACATATATTTTAGTTCCTTGTCTAAAGACGACAGCGCCAATGTGCGCATTTGACCCATGTTAATGCAAGTTTGCAATGCACAAGAATTTCGTGCATTTAGAAGAATATACCAAATTACAGTAGGCAACACTGCTCAAAAATTGTTGATTTTTGCTATTTTTTGACAGAGGTTAGCAGTTTTTATATTGCTTATTAAATTATGTGCAAGTATATTAACAAAAATAAATTTTAATATTTTTAGATTTCAAAAAATAAACAACGCACAGTTTGCTATCCATTTTTCCAATATTCTTAACTTTTTCGCACACTTTTTCCGCATTACAATAAATTATTGCTACTAATTTCTGTCCACTATCTTTCAACGTAGTTAATAATAAACGAATTTTTTCCTTAAATTTATATTGATTTTCCAAAAATACCAAAAATTTCTATTAATAATTTATCTTATTCAGTTTAATTTCACTTTTTTTTTTTAGATAAGTAAACAAATTTCACTATCAGCTGTCTAAATGCATGTCTGCCGTCTGTCTGCATAAAATTTCAATGCGCATTAGCGTTGCTTAGTGCGCATTAATTTTGCTTGTCTGTCAGGGCTCTAAAAAGGTTTTTGGAAAGTCATAGAAGCTTACAATGGCTTTGTCGTGAACTGCGGATAGACTTCCATGTCCTAATTCACAATCGTAGTTATGAATATTTTTTATTAGTATTTACGTAATTATGTGCCAAAAAGGTTACGACTAAACATACAAGGATATTTCATCTAATTCTTGAAATTTTAGTCAATACAGCCTCGGTGTAGTCATAAAATATTACTGTCGTATTTCGCTACCAAAAACGCGCATTCGTCCCAAATACGTTAGGTTTGTGAAGCTTCTAAATTATGCACTACTCTTATATTATTAATGAAGAACAAGGAAAAAGAAAAGGCAGCATCATATGCATAGCAGCTGTTCTGACAGCCAAAGTGCATTGTTTTGTATTTTGCGTCACCCAAAAATGATGGATTGCTGCTTACTTTACCTGTAGCATATACCCAATTGTTTGTCTACAAGATACTTAGGGAAATAAAGCACTAGTTGCTTTTCGTTTGTTTATCGCTTTCTATGGCCGGCTGACATGTTGCACTTGGGTATTATAAGTAGCTTTTTCTATGTGACTCTTTGACATATCAGAGGGAGTGAGACTACATATCTTTCAATTGAAAGAAATTAAACAAGATAAACTGACGTTGGGCAACACCAGAAGCTCCGTCAGGATCGGGAAGGACTTCTCCGAGCCATTCGATACCAAATGAGGGTTCAGAACAAGGCGTTGAGAAGGACCTGAATTCGCTTGGAATCTTCAACTGGCGCCACCTTGCGAAAAGAAAAAGCGTAAGTGGTGTCTACGCCAGTAAAGAAGATGAAGAATTAAACGATTATCCTCAAAAATTCTTTGGCTAGAAAAGGACGGAAGCAGTCGGAAATTCAATTTGTTGATTTTAATAATTTTCTGTTTCTTTTTAAAGGTCTCAGTTTGAACAACTATTTAAACCTCTACTCAAGTTCTTGGGAGCTAATATTATCAATTTCAGAGTGCTACTAAATATTTCTGTTAAAGTTGTTGAAAGAATCTATTTGACAGATGTCGCTTGAAGTCTGTCGCCTCCTTTGTATTTGTAATAAATTTTGGTAAGATAGAGAGAGAAAGAATTTGTAACCGATTTTGGTTTATCTTCTAATCAACGCCATTCCAACATATAGTGCGCGTTATTTATAATGCCCGGTTCCGATTTGAATTAGTGCTTCCTTATTTCGAAAGCTTGTCATCTCCTAGATGCACTTTGATGTTCCGTATGCTGTTGGCATTCCGTTGCAGACAAAGAAGTTCATGGCTGCTTAATGGTTGCTGTTACTTGCACTCGTTTTTATTTAATTTTGTTTTTGTTGCGGTTCTTTTTGCAGGTACCTATAGATTTTGTAAATGAGTATAAATGTACAAAATTACTACGTATTGAAAGAAAAATGCATTGTACAAAGTACAAGGGAACAGACAATAAACAATTTTCAGCAAATTTATACATAACTACAAACCTTAGTATGTGTATTGAAAATATAAGTAAGCCATGAGAAGCTAGTTAAATAAGTTGGACTCTTGCACACATCTTATATAATTATACATATATATGTACATTAAATTAAATTTAATTAATACAGCACATATTATTGTAGGTATCCTGAAGATATCATTGATAGACTTTGGCCTTTCTATCATAATAATAATAATATTTAAGAAGTTGGAACTTTTGTAGACGAATAAAACTAAAATTTGATAAGATGCTCATAATATAAAAGTAGATATAATGCCAATATCTATTAATGAGAAGTTCTCACGACAGACAGCCTTAGGTTGTAGAATCTGTCTCAGATCTAAATAATTATCTCAGAAAGTTGTATATTATATTACTTATAATGTAGGCCAATAAAGACAGATACGTAAAGTTAAGCTGCACAGATCGTGTTATAACCCAGAAGTAAGTCGTCTTTTAATACTATTAGAATTAAAAAAAAAAAAGGTTTTTTTTTATTTAATTTTCTTAATGTAATATTTTCGATGGATTAATAGGATGGTTGTTTGAAATCTAATACGATAATAACTAAGTTCTAAAATAGTTATCTGATTCATTTGGGATATTATATTTTTGGAGTTTGGAGTGTTTTCCGCTATGTGCATATAATGTGCATATCTCACAATCTACTTGAGCTGTGCCAACGAAAGTCTGTGAATCCTTCTTTCTCTGAAAATTATTCTTTGGCGTTTTTATTATAACACTAAAAACATCTGAGATGCATTACAATGTCCACCTTCTCTATTTTCAAGAAGAACAAATTTCGAAAACAAAGCCAACAACAAAACTAACAAAAACACGAAGTTTAGAAAGCTTTCACGTAAAAGTGAAGAAGAATAGAAAATGTGAAAAAAAAACATAAATAAAATAAACAAAATCATATGAATTTGCTCGCCAAGATCGTGCTTGCTCGCAGTGAAAAGCATGAATTTTTCTTTCTGGTACGCGTACATTTTTTAAAAATAGCACGCGCTGTCAGTTTTACAAGAGAACTGTTGCCGATAAGTTGCACTGAATACAAAATTTAAAGTTTTCTTTCACATGTTTTCGTAATAACTGGAAATTTTAAAGGAAAAACTGCGTTAAATAATTAACTGTCAAGTTCTAATGGTGTGAAATCTGTGAAAATAATTGCGAAAAAAATTTGGAATGCAGGAATTATGAAATAAAGCCGAATATGTGTTAATAAGTGATATACGTGGTATATGTACATACATACACTTGTATATAAATTTTGTGTATTGGTATACTTAATGTGCTCTTGAATTATAAATATATTATGTGTGCATAAAGAAGTAAAATAAGTTGAAGTGATTGTGAAACCGCAAATTGGCAAAAACTCTGAAAATTTGGTCTAAATACACACATACATATGTACATGTGGATGTGTTTTCGCAAATCAACATACCTCAACGTACATATATGGGCTAGTGTTGTTGTTTTTTTAAAGTGATTTACGAATACAATCAGTCAGGGTGAATCCTGATCAACAAGATAAATATTTGAATATATTGAAATAAAAAATAAAAATAAAATATATAAAAATTGAAAGGCAGTTGAAGATACATTAAAGGATAGAACGCACACGGCAAAGTTCGCAATTACTCGAAACATAAATAATTGTGTGGTAACCCATTACCGAGGACAAACACAAAGGCCACGCAATCGGTCTTTGTCTCGAAAGACGAAAATTCTTGTCTTGGCCGTCGAACGTTTCGCAGTAGGAAGACGTCCGCACTAACCAACGGTACATTTTAAGCGCCGGTCGCAACCGCATACCCCGAAAGAGCTATACATACACTCATACACAGTAGTAACAAAGCCTTCACCCACCAGAGATAGAATACTTGTGGCGAGCACATAAGATCTCCCTCGAACGAGATGGATGAACAAAGAGAAGAGCCAACCCAGCAACAACAACAACAGGAACATAGTGGCACTACAACATTCGTCAATCAATCTTCAACAACGACGGCACAAGCTCAGCCACACGACGAAGACGCTTGGTGGTGGGAAGTGGAGAATGGTGATTTGATTTTAGACCTCGTGCCAAATATTGACGCGACGTCGAGTAGTGAAAGTGAAAATATCAACAACAGCAATAGCACCAATGAACTGTCATCAGACTTTGTTTCGTTGTTGAAGAGCGGCGAAACCACTAACGTGACATTGTTGGCGAACAATACAAATGCCAGTGATGGCAATGCTGATAATGCGATTGCTGAAAGTATTGATGTAGCTGCAAGCCTTAACAAGCAGTTGGCCGAGAAAACGCAGTCTGACACTGTAGAGGTAGAAAATAACGACGCAACTTATCGCTTACCCGACTCACATGATACAGTCGTACCCAGCCAAGCAGGTGCACGCGAACAAACTCTCGAAGAATTCAAAGAGGAATTGCGCATTAAACGGTTAGCTCGTCAGACGGCTGTGCAAGACTTACGCGATGAGATTGCCACATTGCGTCGACAATTGGCTGAGGAGCAGGAGCTAACACGTCGTTTACGTCGGAATAATGCTGTCGAGCTGTCCAGCACTGAAGTGGAAGTGTCGACGGTCGTCGATGAAGAAGGTGCTATAGGTGGTGTCACTCGTGCTGAACCCGATTCCGATGATGAGGATCCACAAAGTCGTGGACGTCATGCCAATATTGAGCTAGCTAACGCACAGCTTGCACTCCAGATGGCTAATGCGGAGAATCTGTCACTGCGCACGGAAATGGGGGTGGTACAAAAACAAGTCGGCACATTGAAGGAAGTTATTGCCTGTTGCAAGCAAATGCTAAGTGTAAAGGAGGAGCAGTGTGTACAGGTGAGTGTACAGTTTGCGCAATGAAATGTACTCTTTACGCAGCTGTTGTTCTATAATTCCTTACATATAACTTATTGAGTATTGAATGTTGGAACAAAATGTGTGCTGAACTCTTCATTTGCGTTAGGCTTTGTTAGAAACATGTAGAATATGTGAACTCAGCTCCTTTTTTCTTTGCCCGGATAACGAGGCGTTAAGCCGATGTTGTGGATAAAGTCAGTTTTAACATTTTTAATTTGCTATTGCCGCGCTCAGAATTGAGGTGAATAAGGTATGTTTATTATATACCATATATATGCCAAATTTACTGTAAGGACAATTTGTCATAAATTCGTCAGGATATGTATACATTTATTTGGAATGAATTTAAGTTAACCTTTTGCACTTAGAAAAGAATTTACGTCATATTTATAAAAAGAATCTCGAATAAAATTTATCGTCAGAAAGTGGTTATTTGTATATAAAATCAGGTAACCATCCCTTTTTGTAGGATTGAAATGTGCTGCGTGCAGGTAGAATTTAATAAAAATAATCGCTTTTTAGTTGCCTCTTATGTTTTGTGCTTATTCCCAACTAACTTTGGGAATAACTTTACATTATTTTACTTTGTTGCGACTCGCTCGTGTTCAATTTTAAAAGTAAGTTTAACAATATTTCTTTTTGTGAATGTGGGTGGTAAATCATTTTTGGTATTATTTTAACTAGTTAATTCTTCTTTTTTACAGGATCAGTTAAAGAATGCCAAAATAACAGCCACTAAGATGCATCTAAGGTCCCTAAGTGATCGATGCTTTTTCTGTGGAGCTTTGTATATTGGAACTAAATTTAAATAATTTTCTATCGTCCAAACATATATTTAAATTTAAGTCAATATATGTATGTACATCTGTGAAACTAATATACAAAATTTACACTACTTCAACTTTTGTAAAGACAGAAAACTCTACAATGGATGGAACTTTTTGTCGATCAAAATATTGAGCTCAATGAATTGGAAATTTTTCTGTTTTTAAAAATTCATCATTAAAACTATTGTTATATGATTTTATGCATATTTCCTTCCAAAAGTCGTTGTATATATTGTTATAAATCTTTTGTATGTTTATTGATACTTAAAATATTTTTAATAAATGCACACTTTAAGTGCTTAGATGAAGTGATGATTGACATTTTTCGTGGATAATTTTTTGATAAGTATATATGAACATGCCATTGAAATCACTTACGAAATGTACAATACATTTTATATGTTTTTATTTAAAAAGTACTGCCAGTATGTTCTTCTCCAGCAGTCTTGGATTTGCTAATTACACATTAAGTGTGTGTAAAGAAGTGGTAAATGGTTACGAGTGTACCATTTAAAGCGTATGTACGTATATACTCTATTTTACTAAATTCGACTAGATACATAACTGGTGCTCTCAAGTGTCGTTTTGTTCTACATATCAAAACGTTATGTTATGCGGAGAAATGCAGAACCGAAAATGTTTGATATTAGCGTAAAGTCAACAAGTAATTGCTGATTATGAAAATATCACTCATACGCCATGTAACACATGGTTCTTTATAATTTAGTATGTACGTTTTAAAAACAATAAAATATCCAATATTACTCACTGAACGTTTGATAGTTCACTCATCACCTGCACAAAATAAGTGTTTTTCTAATAAATTGCATGAGACTTGGGCAATGACCTTGTCATTGAATTACCAAGTGTCATTCATTTTGTCCCAAAACATCTGCGGCATTACGTTCACACTTTTTCATTTTACAAATATAATTGCTTTAACGCTACGTCATCTTGTTTCTAGTATTCGAAATTATTTTCTTTTAAGATAAAAACATGTTTCAACCAGTATAACACTGCTACATTAGCTACTTTGTTCTAATTTCTTTGAATAAAATAATTTTAGGTGATTCAATATTAATTTTTTTTAACAACAAATAAATAAAGTTTTGGACGGTTGTTATAAGCATGGTGAAAGCATTTATGGCAAAGTTTCCCTTGCATCAATTTTGATATTAAAAATCAGTTCTTGGGTTCTCTAAAGAACCGGCTTCGATTTGCCACTTGCTCTGGTGAGCTCTAATCTCTTGATAAATAATTCTCCCGTGAATGCAATAATTTAATTAAGTTATAGAGAATATAACTCATTGAAGTGGTATAAATGCGTAGCATTCCATATCTTCAATTTGATTACACGAGTGTGGATGATTCATATAATTTGTGGTTCGAATCGTCAATTGTAAATTATTATATCAACATACGATAATAGAGATCAGCAGCGACATTTAATTTGAAATATAAATTTGTAGTTATAATAGTTGTGTTTTTTTTTTGCAAATGACCGAGATACTTCATTCTAGTGTAAATATAAGATTTGCAGTAAAATTTGGCAAATCGTATCCACAAAATAATTAATTTATAATTTTATATAATACAAGAGTTAATGGAAATTATTTTTGTTTGCATTTTCAGCTTAAAACTAAATTAGATGAAATCGAAACGGCATTCGGAGAACGTGAATTGAAAATCATGTCGAGCAATTTGAGACAAGAATATGAACGGCAACTGGGCAATATACGACAACTGCGTCAATTGTACGAGGAACGGCAGCGCATCGCTTTGGCAGAGCAAGAGAATTTGCAGCGTTTAATTTCGATAAAAAGAGACGAATTGGTGGCGGAACAGCAAAAGTGAGTTGAAAAGAAAAATTAATTAGCATTACATATATAAAACGCGTGTCTTTAAAAAGAAAAAAGTCAATGACGACATACTACCATGACTTTTATTTACATATCATTCTTATAATTATATATATTTATAATATATAAACTGTGCGACTTTTTGTATGTATACAGTATATATTTTTAATGATGATGCATGTTTTATATACTGATTTGAATATTCATAACATGTTAATTGAAATACACGAGTTTAAATAGTAAATAATTTATATTTTACACTTTTACTTAGTTGAATTTTGTTGAAATATCTTTGTGTGTTATGTCTATGATTCACCTAAATATCGGCTGAGTGTACATTTATTTATGAAGCGTATGTACTTGTATATGCCATTTCTTAATTTCAAATTAATTATGGTTTCTGGAATGTTAATAATTAACTACAGGTATAAAGGGTAAGCCACGAAGATCCTACTTTCTTTAATTGTTCTTAATAGAAAGTCAGTTAAAAATAATTTACTAGATATTTGTAATTCAATATAAATTGTTTCGGCCAAGAACGATAGAGACAAGTTCTTAATATGAAACGTGATAAACGAAGCGAACTGTCAAGTTTTCACTCTAATTGTAAACAAAGCATGCCTTATTATGATTATGAAAAGCAGTCCAAAAAAATAACTAGACCAAGTTCTAATAAATTTTATTCCCACCAATCTTCGTTTGTTTTTAGCGCCAAGTTTGTAGGAAAATAAAACTTTCCTAATAACTACTTACCCATTTCATTTCGCTTGATGAATTGTCAGATAGAGAGAGAGAGCGATGGTCTTATGCATAGCTTTGAAGTGTAGTATGGCTACTAATTTGAATTTTGAAATCAAAATCGCATGACAAAGTATTAATGCTATAGATCATTTCATCATTTCGGATAAGCGATCCATTAGCAAGATATTCGTTAGAAAGTATTAAAGCTTTGATAATTGTAGATCACATCTTTTATCGCTCAAACAAATTGGTTTTTTTTGAATATTCTTAGAATTAGCTGAGTATGCGCCACGTCCTGAAAGGACTAAATAAAATAAAGTCTTCTGCCGATGCAAATCGCCGAAATACAGCTCGAGGGATTGCTAAAACATCAAATTTGTCAAACATGTCCGTTGATAAGCACATGAAACGTCTAGGATTAATTTCGAAATTTGAAATATGGATTACTCATGAACGAAATTTGCTTCGTTGCATTGATGGCTCCGCTTTGCTTATCCAACGTCAAAAAAAATGATTATATGAGGCGCAGTGTGTTGTTATATCTAAAAAAAACCTATATTCTGATTATCTGAAAATATTCAATGATGCATATAAGCAGGAGAGGCTAGAATTGATCAAAGGTGTAGTGTTCCACAAGTATAATGCGAGACCTCAAATAATATAATATATATTATATATAATATATAATATAATTTCACAAAATCTTTTACACAATAAAAGAGCGATCGACCCAATGTTTCACAGCCCTCAAAGCTTTTTTATAATAAGAGTTTAAATTTATTTGAGGTAGATTTAGACACCAATTACAAAAGGCTCAAGAATTGTATGCCTTTATAAAAAAACTGATTTAATACTAAAAGCACAATAATTTTTCCTTTCATGAATACTTGAAGTGAAATAGATCAACCAGTGTATAGTACATACATATATCTACATATAAGTATTTATATATGTTTATGTCAGTTCAAATATAACTAAGTATGTTTTGATTTATATAATAATTAATAAAATATACAATACAGCAAATACTTTACCTTTAAGCTGAAACTAATTTGTACCATTTTGTATTAATTAATAATACTTGTTTGCTTTTTTTGTTAGATAGGCACGTTTTGCCAATTACAAAATAACTAACAAAAGGCCACTAACAAACAAACCACAAGCACTTGAACAAAATCCACATTTCGTGTTAAAAGTATGTATTTAATTCTATTTGATGTCGACAGCAGCGCATTCACTTCAAATGACGTTAACGAATGTATATTTATATGTGTGTATGTATTTGTATAAATAGGTTTACAGGACTAAAACAGTAGAAAAATGCTAACAGTTCAGATGAATTTATAGAAGAATCTAAATTAAAAAAATAAATTATTGAGAATTGGTAAGGTTCCTACAGAAAATTAGAATAACATAAGGAAACATAAGGTCAAAAATATTATATTATACCTCGTTTAAGTATAAAATGGACCAAATGCCTTAAATAAAAAAATATAAATATATTTTTCTATATACAAGTATGAGTATGTAACTAAAGTTTTATAAAAAACTGTTGTCTGCTTGGTTTATCTGACTTCACTTTTTGGGCATCATAAAAGTCCAATATGGGGAGCAAAAACTGAAACATTTCCAAAAACATATCTGACACCAAATTTATTTAACTGATCTCGCGGTAATCCGACTAGTTCGCAGCTACTTTTCAAATGTACATATTTATTATAAAAATATATAACATGCGAGAGTTAATCTTAAAGGTTTATGACAAATTTAATGACACTTAATTTAAAACAATACATTTTCATCCACAACTGTAAGTTTTAATACCAACTTGATTACGAAGCTTAAGTTTTTACATAGTCTCCAAAAATAATATTACACATAAAAATAAAATCACAACCGACTTGAGTGTTTCACTGACATTTGATTTGATGTGAGGAACATTGCGCGTAAAAAAAGAATCAATATTAGTGGCATCGGTTCTGTATATATAAGTGTTATTCCTTGAAGTTAAAATATAGCATTAGCTATTCCTATAGTGTTCATTTATCGTTAGAAAGTGTAGAAGTTAATTTTGTTGTTTACTGAACTATGATATATGGTAGCTGACTGCAAAAATGATATAATTATGACACCATCGCAAAAAATACACCACATCCATTAATTTTCGCAAAATAAAAATCAATAAAATTGAATAAGGAAATCATAACTTTATAGGTAAGGACCAACTTCAATCTCGTATAAGACTCTCGCTTCTGACAGCTGACTGATTCAATTTAGTGAATACTTCTTTGCCGATATTTTAGTCTCCTAAAATGTTTTATATTTCAAATATAGTGAAAGTATTAATATACATTTACGAAATAATAGTACTTATATAAACTCGATTATGTACTATAATTTTATTACGTAATAATAAATATTCCAGTTAACCTTAAAAAAAAGTAAAAATATACATTGATTTGGGTTGTAAAATGAAATAACTTTAATTAATAATAACTCAAAACATTTTCAAATCTGGTTAAACGGTATATAATTGGGCCATCTCCATAAGGTTGAACAAGAGAGTTCAGGCCTAGGACCAACAAATTGAAATACTTTAAGTTCTTGAATTCCTTTTGATTTTCGAAATTAATAAGTAAAATGTGAGTATTTGATCTCCTAATTAAATAAATCGTATATTCATACACTAAACTAAACACAGTGATATTTTTGTACGCATTAGTGTACGCGCCTATATACACACTAACATATTTTTATGAGCACGTGCTATTACAAAATGTTGTTATTAGCTCAAAAGGGAAAAGAAAAACTTTTGTTCTTTCATTTTTGCCTTCGTATGTGAGAAAATTATGAAATGAAAACAGAAACAAAAGCAAAAATCTAAATACAACAGACTAACATAAACAAGGCCAAAAATTACAAAATTTTTTATTAGTTCCATATGGGAGCGAAAAATATACTCGCAAATAGAAAACAAAAAAATGTGTTTACATATTGTATTTGCTGTGCAACAGCTTGACTGGCAGACTAGCTGACTTACATTTGCTGCAGCGAGTTATTTTTTTTCCCGTTGTGTTTTAACTTTTAGAACGAAAAGTGGGACGATTCTAATTAATAACACAAATTTTATTAAAAGATATTTTAATGAACTTTTTACTTACTGTGACATCAACTGAAGGGCTCAATGTATTTAAATGTGTTAAGTTTAATTGATCAATCAAGACAATTCGAAATTTAATTTTCTGTTCTTTATTTATTTTGGTTAAAATGTTTACCTAGATATATTTAAAAGCTCACAATGTTAATTTATGTAGTACCCTAAACGAGAATATCCTATGATACCAAAAACATGTGTGTACTGGCAGAAAATCAAACATTTTCTTTATTTTTTAATTTTTCCAATTTTGAACAATCCTGTTTTTATCAACGTGCAAATACGATTATATGCGGAGAGTTTTTTACGTCTGGATAAAATTTTGAATACAACAAATATAATTTTCGACCCAATAAGCCTTGGTCACGTTTATGAAGTGATTATTATTCCATTGTTCCAATATCTCGAACATACGTTGGAAAGCTACTGTCCTTGTGTGTATTTCAGTTAATACGTGTTCTTAATTTGACGCGTAAACAACAATAATTTATTTCACTGAAATATGTCGAACTTCTCGTCGGGAAAAATTCTGAAAGTCATCATGTTTTGACGGAAGCTTATGCTAAAAATAGCTAGAGCATCAAATATGCCAAAAGTGGTTTGCACGATTTAAAATCGTCGATTTTAGCTTCGAAGACGAAGAACGTTTATGCATCAGATTATGGGTGGTGATAAAAAATGGATAGGTTAATCTAACCTTAAATGCAAAAATTAAAGCAGAATAAAGTTTGTTCAGAAGTGCGCGTTGTGTTATGCGCTTTTTAAATCGCGCGAAATCCTTAATGATTAGCATCACTGACAACAACACATCAAATTGAAACAAGAGATGACCGAAAAACCCTCGAAATTTTGCATCCAGGCACGAGGTAATAAATTTCCATCATGACCGGTTAAGAACTATTTGGAAAACAGCAGATGTGTAGTTTTGTCTCATCCGCTTCTAGCTCAGAAAAATGGGAAAACATTGTAGATTAATATAGGATAACACGAAAAAACACTCGAATATATGTAGATATAGATTAATATAATTATTAATTTTTTATTTCTGTATAAAATTTCATACAAATGTTTTCTTTTTTGCTTCGCAGCTTATATCCTAAGAAAACCCAAAAAAGTATTACGGAAGAAGAATATTTTTATATAAATTTTTAATTAAAAAAAAAATCAATTATTATATTCATCACATTTTCCCACTGTTCGCTATGGCTTCGCGGCGCTTAGTTGTCACACGTCAATAGGCAAAGTTTGGTGAGTCCCAAATTACAAGCACAGTACGGCAACACTAGTTCCGGAGCAGAGCGGAGTGTAGGCAAACTTTTTGTTTCGCAAATTTCTCCTCACAACATAAAAGTGCGAATGTTTCTCAACTTTATGCGTCAACATATGCGTTCATATACTCCTTCGCCAAATTAAATATGCATGTGTGCAAATTTAAAAGAATATGCTTCCATTCATACCCAAGTTTGCTCGGCTGCATAGCCTACTAGGAAACTCACTGTGCACTTTAGCCTTGCGGTAACAGGCTATTTTGGTTATTTCCTTTTACTTTTTGTTGCTGTTTGCTATTTGTTTTATAAACATACTCGCATGTGAGCGCGTTGGTGTTTTAATATGCTTGCAGCAGCCTTTTACCCAGTGCCATTTGCCTGACATTATTATACAAACATAACAAAAAATTAGAAAAACCCAACATGTATGAATGTAGCAGCTGAATATGCTCGGTTATGCAGCTTTTAATTGAAATTTATTTTGGAAAGTAGCGGTTATAATAAAAAAAATATATACAACAACTTTTTTCTCACGTGAAATAATCGACATTTTTATAATTATAACGAGTTTTTCAAGAATACCGCTACAAACGTTTTTCTTTGAATGCAACAACATTATTCCAGTGAAAATACATTCGATGCCATTATGTATGGAACTTTTGCATGGCCACAACGGGACCGCTTGCAGAAGTCCAGAAGCTCAACTGAAAGCATGCATCGGCCGTTATTGCTACAAATTCACTTTCGATATTTGTAAGAAGTTCATCAATCCTCGCTGTCTTGTTGGACGTAATTCCGCGGGAACTAGTTCAACGGCGTCAAATCTGCGTCAATGGCCAGACTAGGCCATTTCGTGAAATAACATGTTCACCAAATTTGGTTTTCAATAAATCGATTGTGACATTCGCTGTGTGGCTTGTGGCGCTGTCCTGTTGGAAACACATATTGTTTACGACCATATCATTCAATTCGTGGAAAAATATTCGGTTACCATTGAGCGGTAGCGATTCTCATTCACAATGACGTGCCGGTCTTTATCATCACGGAAGAAGTACGGAACAATGACGCCGCCGGCCCATAAATCGCACTAAACTGTAATTTTTTCGGAATGCAATGGTAACTCTCGCACTACGTACGAACGTACTTTCACAGGAATAAATATTTTTGTTTTGTTAAAAAAAAAACTTTTGTATCGTGGTTATTGAAAAACCCGCTCTTAAAGTTGAGGCCACTGACATTGGATTTCGGTAGCAAATTTTAATAATTTTGACTCGTTGTTGGATCGTATATTTTTTCATGATGAACTGGTAAACCTTACTTTTGCTGTGTCTCTATTGAAAAACCGTTATTTCAGTATAACTATTTAATTTCAACTATGGCTTTAACCCCCAAAAAAACCAAAAAAAAAGGTGAAAAATATTAAACTTTTCCACAAGTTTCGTTTTTTTATATGTGTATACCGTAAATTATATACATATATATATATATACTATTATTTTGTTTTTAAAATTTAAGGGCTTCCAAAAATCGGTTTTGCATATATATTTCTTGTGTACTTTTGTACAGTTAAAATGTGTATGAATTCTATAGTGTGATTGTACTCTCTTTTTTTCTTTTTAACACTCTCAAATGTAATTTCATTTAAAATTTTACTCTCTCGGATATCCTTATTTCTAAAGCAAAGTTCATAATCCCTTCTTCGAGGTCTTCATTGATTGAATCTGTACTCAAAAATAGCCCAAATCGCAAATAACCGAATTAGAGAAGAATATCTTTATTATTATATAAACCTGTATGTATTCTAAAGCTTTATTTTTTGAAAAAGTTATAGTTCCCGGAAATTGTAAATAAAACGCAAACTATTATATTTAATTATTAATCAATATTATTTTGTCACCTTCAAAGTAATCATCCTCACCAGATGTAATACACATGCTCGAAACACTTTGCATAAGCACATTGTGAGATGACCTTCAGCTCCTTCCGTGAATTTTGTTTTATCTCTTCGATCCACTTAAAATGGGTTCCACGGAGCGCCAATTTCAGTTTGTGTTTCTGTCGCGAAGATATACATTCAATTATACGTGTATTATTATAAACTATTCAATACGGTAAAATGGAACTTATGAATAAAGACGAAAACGTTATAGATAAAAATCCACGGGGTAAGAATTTAAACATGACTTTAAAATTTGGAAAATTTTCTTTGAGTTGCTATTGAGCACAAATCAATATAAGATGTGAAGATTTCCATCCTTGTAACATGTTGCTATAGAATATATGTAGTAGTTCGGTTCACCTAACGATTGTTTTTATCACTTAAAACTACAAACATGGTATATATAAATGATCAGGATACCGAGACAAGTTGAATTTCAAGTGACTGCCTGTCTGTCTATCCGTGCTAGCGATAACTTGAGTAAAAATTGAGTTATCATAATGAAACACTTTCTTCAAATATGAAGATTATTATATTAAATATAGTAGTATTCATACAGTTTCATTTTTTCAGATCGACCTTCTAATATCAAATCCCACTAAACTGAAA